AAAAAAAAAAAAAAAAAAAAAAAAAAAAAAAAAAAAAAAAAAAAAAAAAAAAAAAAAAAAAAAAAAAAAAAAATTATCTCATGCATTAAAGTCCATACCTCCCAATAAGTATTTACCTGTAGCTAGTAAGTATTTTTAAAATTTTGTACGAAAGGAGTTTGACTATACGTATTAATGATTCTCAAATTTGCAGATTAAATAAGTTTACTTTGCAATCTTATGCAAAAACTTTATCAAATCATTATCTATATTTCTCTTGATACTGTGTTACACGATGTAAATTTTCTTGATCACATTTCTAAATTTATTTGGAGCATTTATGCAGAAAGGGATGAAACTTTTGAACCCGCAGATAGTAAGTTTATACATATATATTTTAACCCATTTCGCAAAATCAATGCGAAGAATATTACTGGCTCTATAGGAGGCAAGTTTTCAAAATCATATTTTCTATTTCGTCTTGAAGATTCTTAAGAAAATGTTTAACCATTGTTGATTGTCAACTTATAGAGAGTGGATTTTACAAGTATATTTTCTGAATTTGAGATTTACAAATTCTTACAAAAATTAATTGCCTGTTTTCACCTTTAGTGGGTCGGTTTTTATAAGCGTTTCCAAATTTTATTTTGCGAATTGTTATGCAAGTTACTTATGCAGTATTATCGATGATTATTTTATAGCTGGTAAGATATTTTCTAAATTTTTCGAGAATTCGTACGATAGTAGTTTGCTATACTTATAATTGTCAAATTTGCGGAGAGTAAGTTTTGATATGCATATTTTCTACCGTCGTTTAGTTAATTTATTCCAAAAAAACTTTACCTACGTTGTTATTGTTATTTTATTACAAATTGTAAGTTTTCGCATGCATATTTTTAAATTTGATTTACACACATTTATGCCAAATCGATGATGTTGCAGATACGTAGTAGGCTTTTATAATCTATTTTCTGAATTTGTTTTGCAAATTTAATACGAAGAATGCATGCTCATTATTGATTATCGACTTTATAGATAGTAAGTTTTCACAATATAAGTATTTTTTAACAATTTTTTACAAAAAAAAAAAAAAAAAAAAAAAAAAAAAAAGCGATATAAATAATAACTGTCGATCTATAGATTATACTGTATGTGATTTTTTAAAATTCGCTTCAAGAATTCAGAATAAAAGTTATTTAACTATATTACTAAGAATTTTTTGTGTTCTAGACAGTAATATTTACACTTATATTTATTTTAAGATTATGAAGTATTATAACAATAATATTTATTATTTAATTTTATAGGTTCTAGGCTTTCACAAGCTTATTTTTTATTTGCTTTACAAATTCATACAAAGAATGATTTACGTATTTATGTTTATTATTTTCGAATTTATAGTGCATAATTATCAACTCAGTCTGTAGGTTTTTGCGTCCATATTTTCTAATTATATTTTTCAAATTCTTACAAAGATTTTAATCATATTATTGCTCGACATTGCAGTTCGTAAGTTTCACAAGCATACGTATTTTGCAAATTCATACAAAAAGTGTGATCATACTATCTATAATTGAATTATAGTAGGCAAGTTTTCGCAAGAATTTATTTCATAGTTTTGCAAAAAAGGTTTAATAGTATCGATTGGTGATTTTATAGATAGTGTTATACAACGTATTTTACAATTTATTTATGATTCACTGGAAAGAGATTAAAATATTTTTATAATTGCAGATTGTAAGTTTAAAGATCATATTTTACAAATTAATTTCAAAAACTCGCACGAAAAAATTGCATTAAATGTACCATTCTTGATATTACAGATACAGTACGTATCTTGAAATTCAAGCAACTAATGTAGCCAGTGAACAAGTGTTTTCTGTTGCAAAGGATGCAATTAGTCTTACACATAGTCATATTGATCCAGAGTTAGCGCGTGTCTCATTATGCTTGAAAAGCTGGTATACGGATTAGAAGATATAGAATAGATTTTAGATTTTCGTAAGGCAGAAAGAGATTATCGATAAATTATTATACTTATACGTAGATAATAAATTTTAATTGGATATATTTATATGAATAATTGTTAATTATAAATGGTAATACATTAGAAGTTCGGGACAATTCTTACGATCCTAAAACTGAATTGGATTGAACAGACCTATTGACAACCCGCCTTCAAAAAAATTACTTAAAGAGATAACAAATATGCGAACTAGTATATCAAAAAATAACAACCCTATATTAATTTAAAGCATTAGAGTACTGTTAATTCATCAGGACTCAAAGCCGCCGCGACAGCAGTTACTAAATGAATGGTTCCTGTAGTGAAACAAAATTGGTATTGTTGATTTGCCACATAATTGTTATATATTTTACTGTAATGATCTTGGTTAGCGGCTGAACCAAGGTCCTTATTATTAACAGTCACATCCATCATATTTACTTTTGTTGTTTGTTTTTTGGCATCATATGTTGTCATTCCAAACGTTAGTATTCTTTTACTGGTTTTAAAACCACCGCTTGGTGCGCAGAATTTGCCACGAGCATGGTGATTATTCCATGCATCTATTTTTGATTTGGAAACACACGCTGCAAATGGAGTCGGATCGTGCGGGCGAATAAAATCAATACAATAATAGTCTAGCGGACATAGTTTATAAAAAATTTTATTAGAGCTTGAATCTGGAGCCTCGCATGTATTCGCAACAACGTCCATGCTTCTGCAATTAGAGCTTATCCACTTGGGGAAGTGAGGGTCCGGGCAAAACATATTTAAATCGCGACGACTCAGGGATAGATTCTGTGTTTCTTCTAGAGGAAAATTCCGCGTTTCTTCAAGAGGCATTCCTGCGACTATGGTCGTGATCGCAAGTAAAAAGAAAATGTATTTCATACACAAATGAGAAAACATATTGTTGCTATTGTTTATGGAGATTATGTAAAAGAAAGCGTAAGGTATATGAAATTGAATTGCCTGTAGCTGTTCCTGTAGAGGGGGTCAGATGTCTTGACTACGATAGTATTGTAAGAAGTCCTCTATTTATAAACTTTACCAAGTTATGGCATACGAATCTTTCCTTTATTCGTTTCATTGATAAAATAATGATACATATAACACCTTTATCTAACTAATAATATATTTTAGCAGTCGCATAAGAAACAACAATACAGGTTTTTTCATTGTTAATTAATACAGAAATGACAACTCACCTAACACAAATTGATTAAAACTAAAAACATCTCGATCTAGAGATGAGAAAATGGATTTGCCTATCTCGGACTGAACGATTTTAAATGGTGGGTGTCGTTCAATATCTAATATTACGTACGTACGTATCTATTTTTGACATACGTATGAATCTACGTATTCCGGGATCTACGTATCGTATTCCGTGTAAGATTGTAATTGCCATGTGATTTTTTTTTTTTTTTTGACCCTTTTGCGAGTAACCCCTTACTTACCATCAGTTTTAAAGTAGCGCAATTGTGAGATACAATGGCGCGAAATGTCCCTTTCGACGAAACAACGGCAGCGCGAGGCAATTTGTCATTTGTGGGGTAAAGGTATTCGTTCTGCGCGGGAAATCAAGCGTTGCACGGGCGTTAGCCTATCTACAATATACTACAATCTAAAAAAATTGAAAAAAACGGGTAGTGTTGAATAAGCGAAGGGCCAAGGTCAACCAAAAAAAATCACCTCAAGTGAACTCCGTGCGATCGGTCAGTTTATCAGGCGAAATCCTACAATATCAATAGTTGAGTTAGTAAAAAAACTTAATGAAAAAGTATATTTTCGCGGTTTTGCGCTTTTTAATTAATAATTAGTTATTAATTAATGATTGTAATCAATAATTAATGATTAATTGATAATTGTAATCAATAATTTAGTGACTAATTGATAATAATAATTAATAATTAATAACGAATTAATAATTATAATTAATAATTAATACTAATTAGTGATAGTGATTGATAATTGGTACTAATTAGTGATAGTGATTGATATTTAGTACTAATTAGTGATAGTGATTGATAATTGGTGACTAATTTATGATTGTAATTAATAATTGGTGACTAATTGATAATTGGGATTAATAATTAATAATTAATTAATGATTGCAATAAATAATTAGTAATTACACTAGGCAAAAAAAAATTATTTGGCATACTGCCATTCATATAACATTCAGCAAAAAATAAACAATTTGCAAAAAAAATGAAATAAATTTTTTTTTTTTTTTTTTAAATGCTGGCGTAGTCATGCCAAGTAGCTTTTATTTATTCATTAATATTCCCTTATATACACAAATTGAATTGCGAGAAAAT